TTTTTTTTTTTTTTTTTTTTTTTTTTTTGGGAACAACTGACTTTATTATTTTGCCTGTTTTTGGTCTTACACGAATGTGAACACGCATTAAGATGTCAAACTTTACAGATTTATACAATGCATTTATAATTAATACATATAATTGGCAATCATGATTAGAATAGTACGTATTTGATAACTCTAACATTTTTCAACAACAAATATTTGATAAAAGAAAAGTGCCATTGCTTGTTTTTACGAGAATCATAATGTTTGAATATTCATTTTTATGTAATAGTCATTCTAATATATTTAAGTCTTCAATTGAAAACATTTTTTAGTGTTAAATAAATACAACATATTCAAATTAATGCAAAAATTTGAAAATTTGGTTTAAAGAATATGATAAATTTAATTAAAAATACAATTTTTGTACTCAATGCATGCATGCTTGTGTTTTCTCACTCATTTTTAGTGTTAAATAAAGGAATTTGTTTTTTTTTTTTGTTTTACCTCAAATTAAACAATCATATACAAAAACACATAAATTACTTTTTCATTTTAAGTTTATCTAATTAATTATAAAAACTTGATTAATGTATACTAATTACTAATCCACCACATCACAATTAAACACGGTAGTCCTATATAATTATTATTTCACACATTACATGGAATTGAATTTATTATGATCATGCCTAGAGGCTCAATGCATTAAATATTCCTATGTATGTAACACTGGCCATTGATCAACTAGCTAGCTAGGCTGCAAAAATCATTTAAAAACGACATTGACAACTATGTTCAAAAGGAAGTTTTGTACATAGTTTCAAATAACTCTTAACTGATCAATTACGTACCCAATTAATTAATTAATACTCCTATCTGCAGGATTCTCCGTTGTCTTGATCTTCTTCAACACAACAGAGAATCCTGCAGATATGATGCCCAAGATAGTGGCAGCAGTCAAGTTTGTACATTGTTTAGACTTGACCAACATTCTGCATATTTGAGTTGGTGCCGAGAGGCGCATTTGGAGGCACCGCTAGCAGTTGAGTTGGAAGTGAGAGCAAAAATTAGTCAAAGTGGAGAATTGTTAGTTTTTTTATTAAGTTTTGTCCGATGCGCTTGTTGTGATACCCCCAACACTCCCTTCCTATCCCAGGCATTGAAGTTCTTCGGAGTCCAAATCTGGACCGAAAAATTCGTCTAGGTGGGTTGAGTGCCGCAGTTTTCGGGTTTGGAGCTTAGTTCTTGTTGCTCGGTTGGGGTTCTTTACTGTGGGTGTGACTCGGTGGTTGGTTTAGGTGGTCGTGGGGTTCATCTGCTAAGTTTAGGGGAGGTTTAGGAGTGAGTTCTTTTTTATTTCTCTGTTTTTTTTTGTTTAGTCCAGCGGTGTCTGGTTGTTGGTCTCTTTTTTGAGTTAGTGTCTCCCTTATGAGTTTTGTTTTTGCGGTTAGGTCTCCTTGATGGAGTTTGTACCCTTTGACCACGAGTGCGGATTCAAGGGGGTCGGTCCAATTTTTCCGGTTCCAGTAGTGTCAGTTGACACTTGGATTTGTACTCTTTTTAAGTTTTTAAGTTATTAATATATATGTCAGTTTGAAAAAAAAAAAAATGGTAGATAATAATGGCTAATTTGTTTAGTTAATTATAGGGTATGATTATAGAATACATACATTTGGCTTGGCTGGTCAGAAAAATGTAAAGATTTGCTGACGATTGACGAAAAATGATATTAATGCAAAAGAACCACCACCAAAGAGATCTACGCATGCTCGCTTGCAAGCACTGTTAGAATATGGTAACCTTAGATATGGTATCATATGTGTATCTCGTAGTTTAGGAAAGATATTATTCGATATTGTTTCCTCTTACAGTGTAATCCTACCTATATGTACAC